AAGACGGATACTGTGAATTAGCAATATTATCAGTCTTTGTTCACCATTGTACATTTTAGAGCTGCTAATCAAGAAAATAAAATAAAAGGATGCATAAGAGTGAAGCTAGCTGGAAAGACTGTGTCTGATGACACTCCTCATTGAGAGATGTCTCTTCCTGAAAGAGGATACTAGCAGTAACAAGCATTATAAATACAACACCTAGTAGGCAGCTCCAAAAACTGGGATTAAACTAGTCAAGTGCAGCTCAGGACTCTGCTCCTTTTAATTCAGGCTCCCTCTGAAACCTGTTGTTAAAATTCCTAAGTAAATTGCAGGACCAGAAATAGAAGTCTGATCACTTTGCTTCAAAGCTACACACTTTCAGTGCCAAAATCAAAAACTAAGAGCTCCCATACTTACCTGTCAGTACAGGGCAGTACCATGACCAAAACCTATCATAAGGGAGACCTGCTTTAAGATGTAAAGGGAAGACCAGTCTCTTCACTTTCAAATGAGTGACAGTCTTTTCCTTACCTATACTTCATTATTTGCATTTTAGCTATGTTTTTGTTTGCCTTCTCCCCCCACACACCCTCCCCCCGGAAGATAAAAACAAAGCATGATAAGACAAAGGTTACCTTCCCCCAAACTGTAGCGGATTCGTATATCCCATGCATACATTGTTTCCTTGTTCTCAAATCCCAGCATCACAACTTGAGAGAGACAGATAATTGCGAGCGTGTGATTCAAGCCCTCATAGGGCAGCCCAGGATCCAAGCCACAGATGTCTTCTAAGGTCATGCTGCTCCTCTCCTTATGCCCTTTTGCTCGTTCAGATTTATCTTTGTACACAAGCATGAGCAAACAGTCTAAAAGAAGCAAAACTGTCAGAGATGATGAGGCAGAACATAGAACATAACACTTTTCTCCACTTCAGTACAAAGGCAGTTTACAACTGCAGGGTCAGTCTAATCAAGTCAATGCAAGAACTCAGTTTCCTTTTCCCACCCCATCCCCAGGTAGTTTGCAGACCCTGTTTTTAAGGAGCAAACATTGAAGGGATGTTTCAAGAGTAATCTGCAGGATCAGAAACAAGGAGGCAAGTGAAAAATCTTCCGTTTTACTTTCCAACAATCCAGTGGTTTCTCAGACAGTCTCTGGAGTGTGGGACTGACTCAATTCTGAGCATCAGAAGCTATACTACAGTAGCTGTTCACATTACCAACACTAAAGACTGAGAGGCTATTGTCATCTGTATTTCCACCAGAACATACTGAACCACAAATGAAATTCTTACAGTAGTTCACAGATTACTCAACTAACTAAATGGCAAGCAGACTACATTGCCAGATTGTTGATGTCAGCTCAGGTTTCCTAGTTAAATGCTACACAGTAGCCACTGCTAAATAACCATTATGTGCCACACCTTTTTGAAAGTAAAATACTTTCCTGTGTCACCATTCGGTTTTAACCCCTTCCTAGAAGTGTTTATTACACTGTAACTATGCAGCGGAAGAGAGCAATTGAAATGCCGTGGTCCCATGGGAAAAGCACATTCCAGAAGCAACCCCAAAAGACAAGAAAAAAGGGGAGAGGCCTCCCCTAACTTTTGCACTTAGAACAAGAGCTCTTCTCTTTCCCCTTCCTATCACATAGTGCTCGGTTGTGCAATTAACGATCAGCATCAAAGCTGCTCCATCCACAGCTTAAGCTGCCCTACATACCACAAGGGAGAAAGCCCCCCCATGTACCATCTGATGAATGCTGGGGTGTGGTGCTCCGAGCCCTGGCAAGGTGCCCTGCGGCCCTCAGCCCCGCAAAGGATGGGCACATCTCCAAAGAGGTGAAAAATGACCTAAAGACTGAACCCTCTGCTAGCTAAAGCAGAGCTTTGCATTGACTCACAATTGTTTTCATCCACCTGTTTGCAAAAACAGCTGCAACTGTGAGATTCCAGCATTCTGCAATACAGTTGTCTGTCTGAAGAATGAACAGCTATGGTTTACAGACCGAGAAAAGCACATCACTGGGGGCTTTTTCTGGTAAACCTAGCTAACTTAGCTAGAATAAAAAGAATAAAATACTGTTTTTGAGGAATAAGCCACAGGATCAGCCATTAAGTTTTCAAAGCAAATTCCCTCATCTTCCTCCTTCAAACTTTTCTTACATTAGAAATCCAGGCACATATTCATATGTCTGGATACTAGCTCTAGGATCTATAGATGCCAGTTCATGCAGGGAAGTTTAGCAGAGGCAGTTGATACACAGGCATTTAAGACACTAACACATAACTGCAACGACTCAAGCAACAAGAGCTAGGTCTGAAGACCTTCAATTGCTAAGAAATCTCTGGTGACCAGCAACAACCTAGAAAAGATGCATTAATCCATTCTGCAGCAATACAGATTCACATTTTCTGTGTGTTGGAGCCCTGGAAAAATATACTTTCAGGCCCAAATGTTTTCTCTGTTAGGAACAGATAGGGAAACCTGAAACCTACTTTTCCTCTCCAGCAGTAAAACATCAGCTTGGAATAGCATTTTCAATTTCCCCTTCAGAAGCAGGGAAGTGATTTTTTTCTTTTTCTATTTTTTTTTTTATTCAAAATGTCATTTTATTTTTAAATCGAAGTGATATTTTATGTCAAAACACTGATCAAAAATACCTACCGAGCTTACAATGCCAGCTTTTTTTACAGCCACCAATCACCCTGAAGAAATAAATGGGATCCAAAACCAAAGAGCTGTGCCTTGAGAAGTCACCTTTCCCACTGTTTTTAGTCAGCGCCTGGTATTAAACTACTCAAACCCGACACCCGGGCACCACTGGCAGCCCGAGGGACAACGTTCCACAGGGCACTGGCCGCCGTGGCTCTGGGGGGCTCCGGCGGTAGCCGCCTCCTATTTTTGGCCACCTGGTCCATTGCCAGATAATTTACAGTCTGCTCCCTCGATTAAATAAGACAAAAAAGAGGGAAGAGCAGCGACGGCTTGAGGGGAGCCCTGTCGAGGGTGATTTCCAGCGGCTGCGAACCTCGAGGGGAGCCCTG